CGTTAAACCAGATTGTCAGAATCAACAGATTGTAGTTGTGATGACCCGAGCAGCCACAAGGAGGATGAAAATAACGGGAGCAAAGTTGACGTCCAAAAGGTTGTTTATTTGGAGCGGATGTGCAAAATGTGCAAATAAATAGGTTTAAGAGCTTAAAACAAAGATTGTAATAAAAACAGTCATACTAGAACTAAGTAGTAAAACTAGTACTATCTCCCCTCTACTACATTGTAGTGCTGTGCAACACGTAAAACTCCAGCCTCAATCTTACTCGCCAGCTCTAGATCTGTCCACCTCCCTTACTACAGGTGATGGCCATCTTAAATACACATCTTTCCCGCTCTTACTAATTGGAACATACCATGTTTTTATACAATAAACTCTTGACTTACAATAAGATTTATACATGAGATTTAGAAATAAGAGTTATAGATATACTCTATATCTGAGTTATAGATATGACACTATAGAGTCATACAGTATATCAAAAGAAAGTAAAGAGCCTCTGCTTTTAATCCTTGTGCAACCTTTTGGACATTTTTGTCCTTTTCCGTTTTGTTTTTTTGATCATTTTGCCTGTGTTATTGCCAACTGCATAAATTTTGGCACAAGTGTGTATTTTTATTGGAATTTTACTATTTCACCCCCATTTCCTTTAATAAATCTATTTTGCACTTGGTACACAAAATTGTTCCTCAGGACCTTTTGGACAAAAATGTCCCCATTGAAACCCATTAAAACTGCTATTTTTAATCGCAGTGCCATTTAACTGTAAAATGATGTAATTTTTGCTAATAGGCTTTCATTCTGTTGTTTTCTGCTTCTGCATATTATAGAGCCAATTGGACAAATAATGCAGCTATAATTGTGTGGGTGTGTTGGTATGGATGTCAGAGTGTGGTTTGTATGTGTGTCATAAAAAAATTGTGTGTGTGTGCTTGTCATATTTGAGAGAGAAAAACTCTACTGCAAATCACAAATCCATCCACTGTGTGCACCAGCGGAGTTTTGCTGGCATCTAATGGGGAAAATTTGGTACTGCGCCCAAACAAAATCTTACTGAAAGCTCATTTTTTGAGATATCAACCTCAAATTTGGAACACAGCTTGTTTTCTAGTAGGTTTAGAGTTCACCATGTTTCATAAAATATGTATTTTATATAAAATATTGTTCATAAATCATTTTCATAAACTTAAACCTCTATAACTTTTTTTTACTTTAACTTGCCGTTCAGTGAATCAATTGTTACACTTAAGTTTGGTCTCATTTTAAAGAAGACCCATGGCAGATTATTGTTGAAGAACCTAAGTGCAGTTTATTAAAACGAAGCAGAATCCAATATCCACACAAAGACTTGACAATGGCTTGACTTGACATGAACAAACTGGACATGAACAGACTCACCAACAACAGGGTTACAAAATCAATACACGACCAGAGACAATGGCAACAAGAGGGCTACTTATAGCAATCACTA